ACTGCTACAAAATTCTGCCTTTTAGTAAAAGCCTATAAAAGGAAAAAGACAGAAGATGGGAATTCTATTGAACAAGAAATGACAGCAGCTCCTCCTCAAAGAAGTGCATGACTCGGTGGGTGAGGGTGGCCCCAGCTCCCCTGCACTCAGCTGCAGGCATTCTCCCCTACAGTGTATGTGTACACTGGCTTTCCTTTCAGGAATGCAGACAGTCTTGCTTGCAGGAAGATGCTGACATGCAGAAGGGCACCTTACACAGCACAGTTTGAGCTGCCCTACCTGGCCCTGCAGCAGCTCCCTGATGCGGCGCATGGGGGCTGCACAGACACAGCCACTGACTGCAAGTAAACACACTCTGTCTGTCCAGGATATCCCTCTCCACTCTCCCTGTTTACAGAAGTGGCTTTTCCTTTAGCCTGAAAGGTGCAGGATGGGAATGGGTGGCACAGGAGCAAAGGCTTTGGAAAGCACGCAGTGGGTCTGCTGCTGCTTCAGATTCAGACAGTTCTCTACTTGAGGGGAAATCTATTGATTTTCCCTACTGCAGTGCTGCAAACAGAGGAAAAACTTCTGCCAGCAGATAACAAAAGGGCAGCGACTTGTTAGGATCTGCTAGATCTGCCCTGCACATTTCTTACGGGGCAGTACCAAGTCCCAGTATCACCATTTCTCCAGGAATCATGTGCTTTGTGACCCCACACAGCTCGGAGCCCAACAAGAGCACAGAGCAGGAAGAAGCAGGAGCACGCGGCCTGTAGGTACTGGCAACACCTGGCAACACAGGCACTGCTGCTGGGAACCTCTGTCTGAGCCACCTCCTCTACCTATTGCGGGAATGCAAGAATGCCTCAGCAGAGAAATGCTCGTCTGGGTGCCAAGATATGATACATGCAGAAACTCAGGCAGTGGCTTAATATATTTTTGTGACGGAAGGCTGCAGCTGATAGTGCTGCGTTAGCCCAAAGCTCAACAAGACCCAGATCCACATGCTTTAATTCTAGAAATAAGTGTGCTTACTCAGGGCTAGAGTCCTGCAAGAAACATTTCCTGCTCTCTAGGTAATAGCTAACAGAAATTGAACACAGGTGTGCTCTGCAGCCTGGCCCTCTCCTGCCCTTGCTCCTTTAGTTCTTTATCAGAGCAGTGAGCGCAATTTATGCATCGATTCTACAATACTTTCAAAGTGTCAATTCACTCCAAATTCCCATATAAATGGACTGTTGTAATGGACATTGTGTGTTCCTGAGACTTGCTAAACGCCACATAATTACTTCTATGTTTTAATTAGAAAAAGACTTGCTAACTTATTCTTGCTGTGTGCAGATTCTTCTTTGGCATTTCATAGTTAAACAGCAGAAAACACTTCATATGAAAATAGTTCACACAACTAAACATGGCCCTCTTGGGAATTTTAACATCACTTCACCAGGAGCTGCTTTGTCTTGTGCAAGACACTGCCCTCTGTGACACAAAAAAGCTCTTCTTTAGCATAGACCTTAGTAAGACTACTTCTGGGCTCTCTATACCGCTAAGAGAATGAGATGAAAACCTTTTACCATTTAAAATGAAATGCATGGTGAAAAATATCCTGACACACTGCCTTCTCCAACATTTCATTTTATATTTTCTATCATCTTAGATTTTATTTCTTAATGGCCAAACCGTATTGTACTGTACCAGTCCTGCAGTGCTGCTGCTAGAGGAACCTCGCCATCTCACTTTCATTCTCCAGCACATGCAGCAGCCTTTACTTGGCATTTGTTCAGTCAGTGTTTTTACACCAATATGCTCCAGGTGGAAACACCTGCTGTCTGTGCTGCCTGTTGCAATGGCCACGCTGAGACAGGGCAGCTCTTGCTGGGCTTGCAGATAGCACTCACCCTAATTTACAGGGAGCCCCTGCACTGTGTATTTCAGAGCCAATATCCAAAGGGACTTCATGCCCTGCCTCAGGCTCCCATAACAACTTCTCTGCAACTGTCTGTGAGTGGAAACTTTCCAAACTGCGCTTAAAAACAGTCTTAATTGGGATACTTTAATGGTCCATCAATTGCTGTGTTCTCACTGCAGTATCTACAGAGGTATTGTTTCTGTATAATGTTGGCACTTTTTTATTTTCAAAGAATCTGGAAGAACTTGAGACCACGTTAAATATTAAGCCATGAGAACAGAGACAATTCAGAGCCAATCTTTTCCTACATGAGTTTTAAAGATTGATTGGAAAGGGCAGTGTGAAAGAACATGTGACTGACTGCTTCTCATGTCTAAGTCTCCAAGATCCCTCAAAAACATGCCTCAAAGGCTGAAGGAACTCTGAGACAGAGCAATAAATCTGCAAAGTGATAACCAGAGAAAACAGCCAAGCCTGCTGCTGTCACATCAGAGCATCTGTGTCAGAGAGGCTCCCGGTGCAGGTGCTGGAGCAGCTGAGTGGCACTGAGGGACAGAGGCCTGCTCTCTCCCACCAGGTGCTCAAGCAGTCACGCTCATTGGTACGATCATTCCTGCAGCTCCAAAGGGAGCATTTTGGCTGCCAAACTGAGATGGAGAATGGGAACTGGCACGTTGAACCTTTCTGCTTACAGCTTTAAATATTAACTTGGTTCAGCTTGCATCACAGCCTCACAGTTACTGCTGCAGAAACAGTAACACGTTTCCAGGAGTGAGTTGGCTCAAGATTTTGTCACATTCTTCTCAGCTACTCATAGGCAACTGGTATATGGCTGGAAGCAACAGTCATCTAGTGAACCATCCTGGACACAACATTCATATGTTAATCATCGAGAAAAGTGAGTACAGATCTTAGTGAAGCTGTGGAGAAGTCTGCTTCCCATTGTAACAAACAGGACTGGGGATCCGATGAGCAGATCCATTCATTAGAGCACTGGGCTCTGCTGAGCTGGAGGTTGAACAAAATGACCTCCAGAAGCAGCTCCCAACCATGATAACATCTGTATTCCTGAAAGATGGAAAGTGTGACTACAAGAAAGCAAGTCTGATTCCGTGTCTTTTACAGCAAAATAATAGATACTGCCTAACGTGACAATCACAATTTTTATTAAAGCTTTAGATCCTGACATTTATAGAGTGCCTCTAAGTACTGCAGCCAGCCATCCCTTGATATCAGCTCATGGAAAGGTGAGACCCTGATTCCTTCTGTGCTGAGGCTGGGTGTGTAAATCAAAGAACACCTGTGATTTTTCTGACATCTCACCAGAGAGGAGTAAATCAACTCTGAATGTGAACTTTGCTATTTTAAATGAAGCTAGAGAACTAACAGTGAATTATGGCTGGGAAAGCTAGACTTTCTGAAACAAAACACTATCTATTGTTCCTTTACACAGAGTAAGTAAAGTTCATGCTAACATAAGTGCCATGCTTCTGTCTAAAATCCACACGCTTCTTCCCCCTATAAACAATATTTTCCAGTGTTTTCTCTCCTCTTTCACTGTACTTTAAAAACCAGATCCATTCACATAGGTCCTCTGATGCTCACCCACTGAGGAGGAACACTAAAGCCAAGGCTTAGATGAATTTAGCCTACTTCTTACGATATGATTTCTCTTGACGAGTTTCAGGAAAAAAGCCACTCTGCCTGGGTAGCAAAACTCCCTTCTGCACAGAGACAAGTAACAAACACTGAAGAATCATAAGCCTGACAGCCCAATACCTGCAGAAACAGCTGTTAGTTACATGACGTAAAAATCCTCACACCCTCCTTGTGCCAACCAACATATGTTAGGAACCTTGCACAGAGCTCAGAGGGAGCTGGAGTGTCTCACAACATTGCTCCTGTGCCTATTTTTTCTGGTCTGGGGGAGGTAAGGTGCAGCTTTTCTTTTGTAATACAGTCTCCTTTCCACTATCCCCATGATGTGATATAATCATTACTGGATGAAGTGCCAGAACTGCACTTTGCCCTTGGATGCAGATGTGATGCTCTGATTCACATCCACTGCCCTTAATGGTTTCTGTGCTGCCCAAAGAAAAAAAAATCATGTAGGCATTTAAGAGGTTAATTGGGCAAAGAAATGAAGACAAAGCATAAGTATGTCACAGTTCATTAGAAGTGTTTTCTTTTACATTTCCAGCATATTTTTATACTATGTAAACTAAAAAAAAATAATAATTAAAAAAATCACGCTATTTACCCTGTGCTTACTGCATTTAACATGGTGGGGGCTCAGACTTCAGCTGGACAGTGAGCTGTGGTAACACTACTAATACTGATGGCCCTGAAATGGCTCTGAGAGTGGCTCTGTTTTCTCAGGAAACCCTGGGTTTCTGCCAACGTGCTGCCTGTTATTTCCTTTTTCAATTTACTGTGTGTTGACTCTAATGATGCACTTGTGTGTGTGTGCAGGTGTGCACCTAAATGCATTTCTGATATGTAACATACAAGTAACTTGGAATCATACAGTTGAAAGTCTTTGTTTACACATTTATATAACTATGCCAAGTTAAGGCAAACAAGATTTGTTAGCACCAACAGTAAAACCCACTGTTCATCCTGTAATTGCTTTTAAAAATTATTTTTGTTTTCAATACTGACTGTCAAAGGAAGAACAGCTAACTTCTCATATGTCTTTTCATCTCTGGAAATATGTGCTCAGCTCCTGTGTCTGTGTGCCATATTTGCTTCCTAGTAACAGAGTGATAGCACGAGAAATTTCAGCTAAGTGAAATAATTTGATTTTGCTCCCAAATTCTATCATATCATTTCCTATGCATATCTTCTTCAATGTTGGGACCATGATTTCACCAGATTTTGCAGCAGAATACTTCAGGGAGAAGAAAAAGCCTTTAAGTACTCTACTTTCTTTGCTCAGAACTTCCCTGGGTGTTTTGTACACTGTGTGGGGCAAAGCAGCATGCAGGAGCACACAGCAGGGCCCTCTGCATAGCACACGCTGACCATGGTGTGCTCAAACAAACAGCAACAGCCAGAGGTAACCAGGGAGAACTTCTGCACCACAAATACTAATGAAGTTGTTACTTACAAGTTCTTCACATCAATGATTCCTCGAAAGGCCTTTCTAGGGATTCCTTTTATCTGGTTTTCACTGAGGTCTCTGAATAAGGGAAAAGAAAAAGAAAAGAAAAAGCATTTTTGTTAACAAAGGGAATGTACTTCTCAAATCTACGTGACATAATGGAACAAAGCTTGCTTGGAAAAGGAGATGTTTCTGGGTCTGTTACACCGTAACACTTCCCTTTGTCTTCTTAGAGGTCTGTGGCATGAGCTGAAATAACTCTCCAACCAGAACTACCAGAGTTTGAGAGAGCAAACGTTCAGAAAATAGCACTCAGATATGCATGATGTGCACAACTCCGTGATTCAGTGGCAGAGTTTCTACAGCTAAATCTCATACCTCAGTATCATACCTTAACACTGCAGGCTTATAACGTAAATAGAAATGTTCCTCATTGTGATTCTGTTAACTGCTATAACGGCATTGGCTTATCTGTGCTCAGATTATAGCCTCTGCTTTTAAATTAATATTCAGGAAAAATGTGGCAATTATTCCCTTCAACTGTTTTGCAAGTTTATGGAAAAAAAAAAGATTGATACAACACAACAAACAAACAAACACAATGTGCTGTACTGTGCATCAGTGGGAATAACAAATTTTGAGCTTGTTTTAAAAACCATTTAAAATTATTTGAAAATTAAAAAATTAGCAATTCAGAATGACTTCATAGTACTTCAAACGCTATGACATGGTCCAGGTTAGATCATGACATCTGCATTGTGAGGACAGGTGGAGCACTGCAGTGCCAGTGCTGTTACATAAGCTGCAGGCAGTTGCTTTTCTCTTCAACATACTGTAAGTGTTTCAAGAGAATTTTTCAATCATGCAAACCCCTATCAGCCACAATGGGGGGAGAAGAGCAGGCACTGGGAATAGGAAGGAAAGAGACATGGAATTGGAAAGTTGGGATGCTGTCATACTAAGGACGAGGAGCACTCTGCTGGTGCACCATCAGCCTGGGATAGGAGGGAAGATTTTGGTTCAGTTCAGGGGGCAAAACTGGGGGAAGCGTTAAATGTAGGGAGACAAAAGGAAGGCAGAAGATAAGGAGAGAAAAATGGAAGAAACAAGCAAAGGCAGAAATGGTGGGCACAGGAATGGCTGGAGGAAAGGACCAACAACAGTGATAGCACAGGACGGGACATTATGGTGTATGTCATTTGGTGTGACTGCCACTTTGTTGAACAAACCAAGGCTTTACCCCATTTTAGGAAGGAAAAGTCTGCCTTTCTGGTGGCTGCTAGGACAGAAAGGCACTCATCCGTACCGTCCACCAGATACTTTTCTGTGAGCACGTTTTGTGTTGCAGCAAGCCTCCTTTCCAGTCTCCACCAAATTGCCTTTATCAAATGAAAGGCCAGAAATCACTGCCTGTCACAAAAGCCCACATTGACACTGCAGGTCAAGATGTGTCATGCAGGGCTTTCTTCTGTTTTCCATCAGGCAGAGAGAGAAAAAGGGGACTATGTCCTTGTCATGAGACTAATTCAATTTATACCAGTCATGCAGTCTACACCAAATTCTCAAAGTAGCCACAATTGTTCATTCAGACTATCACAAACAAAAAGGTGCTGCTGGATACAAGTCTCTTTTTCAAACCAGATTAAAATTCTTTGTGACCTTCACAATTTGTTTAACACTGATCCACACCGTGACCCTTCCTTCACCTCCCCTCTTTTTCTGCCAGCAACAAAATATTAGTTCTTTAAAGACAGATCTTCTACTCAGAGAAACGATCAGGCAACCTGCAAGCGTAAGAGTGGAAAGCAAGTGCATTTCAGACCTGTAGAAAGGCAGTCTTACACTGAAGACAGATTTGAGGGCAGGGAATCATTTCGGTGTGACAGCGAGGCACAGCAGGCTCTAGCCAATGGTAAAAGTGTGACAAAATTGCCTAGGGGGGCAAAAATTAGCAAGATATGGGGGCAAAAAAGCATATTAACTGCAGCAGAAGGGGCTTGAAAAAGTAGAATTGCAAGTTTAAATGAAATATGCATCAAACCCACCAACAACTCAAGTTACACTTGTCCAGTATTTTACCGTGCATTACTTCAAACCAGGTTTAAAGACAAATAAAAAACATATTTTTTCTAATATTATCATTATCCAAAAAGGATAATTTATATTATTGCTTTCTGCTTTCTCTCTATGCTTGGATCTCCCCCACAGGAAGGCAAAAATAGGAGACTGGAAGAAATTTATCCATGTTCTATGACAGCCTCCTCATAAATTGTATTAATTTTATTTCCCATTTAGGCACTCTTTAGCTAACAACACTCCCTCTCTATGTCTCCAGGCCCGTGCACTGATTTCATAAATAAATGTAGCAGTCTGGAATAGGGACAGCCTGCAGGGTACTGGTGATGCAGCACGGATGAAATTCACAACTGCATGCCTCATTTTCCATAGCTGCCCTCTCACAAGTATGACTGTGGCTTTTTGAGATGGACAGGGGAAGAATTTACCTCTTCCTAACAGTGTGCCAAACTTTTGTAAGCAAAACGCAAGCAGGCCCTGGGCAGGCTCAGCCCATGCCCATCCCAGAGTGTGCCAGGAGCCAGCAGGAGCTGCTTGTCCTCTGTGGTTGTTTTAGAGCTCCAGCTCTGCAATCCCTGTTCCTCCTAATAGACATAACGGGAAGCTGTCCCTGACGGTATGTAAAATAAATATTAGTTATTAATAGAAGCTGCAGAAGACCAGATAAACTCGCGTGAGGCCAAAAACGCCAAAGCAAATCAAAACAAAACATTACACAAACAGACAGAAAAGAATTGTGATATGCAAGAAGAAATAAACAATGAGTCTGAAGAAAAATAAATAAATGATGATTACCAACGTATTTCCTATTAGGGAAAGATTTTAAACTCTGTATATCCATAACAGAAGACAAGTTCAATGCCCCTATGTGTAATGAATGGAGCCTTGAGGAGGAAATCAGTGAAACAAATCCAGCTTTAGAGAAACACACATTTCCAAAATCCTTGTTTTAGTAAGCAAGATTAGTGAGCATTGAAGGGAAGCACTTGATGTGGGGACAAAGCAAAATGTGCCATATGCTAGCAGCACCTCATGCTCACTGCTGCTCACAGAGCTTCCTCTCCTACAGACAGCAGCAAGCCCAGCGCCTTGTGGAACACATGCAGGCAATCAAGGGCAGGAAAGGAAAAGCTGTTTAGTGAAGACACTGTCCTCAGCTAAAGGCGTGTCTGAGTGTGCACAGCCCTCAGAAAGAAGGATGCTGGGGAAAGAAACTTGTCCTTGAAGTTCATCTGAATCTCTCCTTGGGCACTGATACGATCCTGGAGCTACAACAGGGACACCTGAAGGAGGTTCTAGAGCCAGCCCGTGGCTCCAGTGTTGCAGTCTCATGGGCACATCCCCGTCCCTGGCACAGACCCCTGCCTGCTGGGGCTGCTGGGGAGCACTGCAGCTGGGGAGGATGTCGGACCTGCAACCAGCAGCTCCCAGAGCCTGCAGTGTGTGGGGGTGGCCACAGGGAAAGGACACATTTCAGAGGTGGGGAAACACAGCCAGAGACATTAAGGCTTGAAATTTGCATGAATCAGAGACGAGGGAGCCAACAAAATGGAGCAGCTGCTGCTGACATGCCCACACTGCACAGCTCAGAAGTCAATAGATATTTTAGTTTCTATTTTGACTAAAATGCTTTGGACATAGATTAACTCCCTCTGCAAGTATAATGTTGTTTTGCTAATCTTCAAATGGAAATTGCAAGAGCTTCGCTGATAGAAGGGTTGGGAAGGAAAAAACCAAAACCGTGGACATTTTCTAAGTGCCTCTGTACTCCACTACAATGCTGGGTTTGAGCTTCCTGCTTTAATGCTGCCTGCTGCATCCTAGGTGAAATATCAGCTAATACAGCAATAAAATGCACTTTTTTTTAATTTGCCAGTGACAGAACATAAACCACTTAATTGGAACACAGAGTCTTCACTTGAACTACAGATCTAAAACACTCAAATACCTACATTAGTACTGCTCACAAAGTTACAGTGGAACTGGGAATTAAGTGCAGCATATGAACATACAGGCTGAAAGCACTATGCTTAGGTTGTCCCTCTTTTCAAGAAAGGAACAAAATAAAAAATAAAAAGATCCTTTGAATATTTACCAGTTATTTTCCAGATCTTTTTTGGTGTACAGATTCTGAAGTTCAAAAAGATTATTTTTAAATGAAGAACTGCCTGAAAAGCAGCTTGTCTGAGAGGTATTTATTGAGCTTGAACACCATTTTCTTATATCTCCTGCTCAAACGGGCTAAAGAACAAATCATTGTTTGGTGTTACCCAATAAAAACCCATTGCAGACTTGCCTAGAATGGCTGAAGAGCTGAAGATGTAAAACACAGTCATCAAAGGCAAATGGCTCACAGCCACAGCCCAGCTCGCACCTTTCCCAGCACACACTATTGTCTGCTGATCCCAGAATAAAGCAGAAACCTCACAGAATTAACCATTAGCACACAGACCCAATATTCAACTAACAAATAAAGGAAAAGCTGGTCTAACTGCCATGGTTCCTCCAGGTGCCTTTCAGCCCATCCCCAGTTCAGTGGTGTCTTAGGAATCCGCCAGGGTTTCACAAAGCACAGCCACACGACAAACACTGATTGATTCCACTGCACACCGCCTGAGAGCACAGCAACCAACTGCTTCCTGCAGCCTCTGCCTCACACAGCAGAGTTTGCATTAGTTAGCTTTATTTTGTATAGCAAACAACGGAAAGGTATGAGTGCTGACTGTGAGTGCCAGCTACTGCCAGTGCTAAAACATACAGACCCAAGGTTCACTCCAGTCACAACATGCACAGCTCAGAAAAATGAGCATTACTTAAGCCGTGCTTGTATCTTGCTTGTGGTCTTTTACCAAACAGGATTTCTGAGTTAAAAGCATTTTAGTCTTACGCATTTATCAAAATTAAATAAAGTAGGTGTTCTTGAAACTCTGTGCACTGTTAAAGGTTAGTAACTATTCCTCAAGCCAACGTCTTTACAACCAGACTGAAGACAGAACTGCTCT